TTACAAATTTGGTAAAATCTCATATTGCATCATTATCATTTACAGGTGTGAGGGGATTCTTGGAATCTTTATTTACTGTCTGGAGCTGAATGAATAGATTTTTAAGGAGAATGAATAAGAGGGCAAAGGAAAGATGGGGTGAAATTACTAATATAATCTTCCTGGTTTTTAACAATCATTTTAGAATGTTGGATTCATTTTTCTAGGTTTGGCATCTGCTACAAACATCTCACTGTCTCTTGTGAATGAAGCACAATACCTCCTGATAAATGTAGCAAGCATTCTGCAGCTGAAAGAACATATTTCTGCAAGGTAAGATCCTTCTGTTTCCAAATGTCTCTCAGTGGTCTTGGATTCCAAAGTCTTGCCATAAGATGCCAATACATCTGTTTTATCTGGAAATTTAGAGATAGTTACTTTTCAATGTTCAACAAATATATAGGTACTGAAATGGTATAATTATTCCTGTATTATTTATCAAAATTTGAATTACAAGTTAAACATAATCTTTCTGCCAGACATCTTTAGGAAAACTTAAACAAAATCCTTGTCGAGTGATTTGGTGGCAGGAGACTATTGGGAGCCAGAAAACTTCTATTTGTGGGAAGAACAAGGATAATTAGGTTTTCTCCACATAAATAATCTGGCAGGTGAAAATACATCTTGCTACTTGCTGAACTATTTCTTTCCTATGGGAAGGATTAAGATTTATAGCAAACATTCAGAACAGAAATATTCTAAAACTACTTGCAGGACTGGATTAATTTTATTTCTTAATTGAATTTGTCTTTACTTGTACAAAAGTAGGAAATACAAGCAGCAAATGAAACATTGAGCCAGCCCACAGTTCAAAGATAAGGAACCTATTACCAACTATATTTTCATATGCTGAGAGTAGAAAGTTGCTGTTCCTTGAATATAAGTAGGACAGGCTCAGGTTCCACAGAAAATCTGTCCTCAGTGCCTCCTTCATAGCTATGCACCCTACAGCCCCAGCATTTGTCTCTGAACCCCATTTTCCTGTCTCACCAAACTTCCCTTCCTCTGCTTGGAGTCATCTTCTCTCAGTCACCCACCAAACATGCCCCCTGCATTGAAATTCCTGTTTTGAGTAGAGGAGGAATATATGTATATGTATAGCTTCAGGATTTAAAACCAGTGACTAAATGAAGTATCACTACAGACCACTGGAGCTTGCACTGCCTGAAGGTTTTTTTTCTTGAGGAGAAGACAGTTGGGCAATTTTGGCATATCATCCTCTGGGAAAAATGCATGGAAAAGGTTTGAATCAGTCCATCTCCCAGCTGTTTTGACTACCCTTTCTCAGTGACAGTTAATGCCTTCTTTTGAGGCTTGACTGGCTCAATTACATATCCTTGGGGAACAAGACTTGCAGGCATCCCTCACTCAGACTGGGCTTTTTCCATGGTGAGACCCAGTGAGGAACCTTCTGGACATGGGATCTGAGGACAAAGAAGAGAAGTAAGGCACCAGAGGGAGCAGCAAGTGAGGATGGAGGAGAACAGGGAACTTTGCCAAACATGCAATGTCACTGATCCACTGATTATGCCTTCCAGTATCTTCCAGTACAACTAAGCTTGTAATCTTTTCTTCAAATGAAACTTCAGATGTGACTGGAGCTGCCACGATGCCTGAGAAGCATCTTGCTTCCCACTCTGCAGCACAAGTTGGAAAACTCTTCCTTATTTTGCCAAGCAGTGCTTTCTCAGGGTGCTGGGGAAATGAATTCAGCATAGATATACAGCATCATCATTTTGCACTGTTACTAAATTGTGGTGTACAAACTTTCCAAATACTGAGCTGTGCAATATACTTTCAAGAATCTGCATATGTGGGTCTTTATTAAATGTTTTTCTTTTTTATAAAGTATTATTTAACTTGGCATGTGGGTTTGTTTTAGTTTAATGGAAACCTCCTAAGATTTCTAACATGATTTTAATCTTCAATTGAGTTTTAACAATTTCTCTTTGTTTGTATCTTCTGTAGGTAAAAATTAATCTTCCAGTTTGCACTCGGTTCTTGAGAGGCAATCTAAAACAGAAACAGTAATTTAATTAAAAATTAGAATGTAACATACTGTTGGAGAGCTATATGTATAGGGAGGCATCCACCTCTCTGGTGTTGCCTTTACAGGTCACCTCCATGAACATCCCTACGGCCTGGCCTTATGCTCAAATGTTCTTGCTACAAGTACGCCTCTGAAGGTGCAAATACTCATTTTCAAATTTGCCTGTTAAATATATGTAATGTGTTCTGGATTGCAGGGCCCAATACTGTGAAAACTCCAAAGTACTCAGGCTGGCTTTGAAAAAATACACTAATTTTCACAACAGGTCCTGGCTGAGATTTACAGGATGAAGGTGCCCATCACTCCAGCTGATGCATGTTTGAGGGGGGGCGGGGGGCAAATGAAATGCATTTACTCAGACACATGCTGCTAGGTGATTAGAAGCAGTTCTGAGGGCTAGGAATAGGTGCAGGAGAGGTAAGGTGATCCTGAGCAGGTTCAAGGCAGAGATTAGGAGTAGTGGCAATGTAGGCTTGGAGGATCAGCAGCAAGGGATAAAACAGTAGAAACTAGAAATAGTTTTCAGCAGCTGGCTCAGGACACTGCAGGCACAGCTCTGAGGCTACTGGGGCTTTTGATGACCCCACCAGTACCAGCTGGGGTGGCAAGCACTGATATTTCACAAAATGCATTCAAAACTAGAGGCTACACAGGATCCAAGCCCCAAGAGCCCACAACAAAGCTAGGAAGCACAACAGTGTAACTGAACTTGTTCAAGACTATCTGCTATTTTCCTCCCTGTCTGAGCGTTGGTATAGTTTACACTTTCTGTTGGCTCCTGTCTCCTGCATTCATTATGAATTGTGTCTCAACCATGGGATTGTTTATGGGATCTCAAGGGAAAACCTGTAGCCTGTCAGCTTCCCATCCCACTTTGTACCCCCAGGCTGGTGGAGCCCTTGTGAACAGCAAAGGCTCGGTGGAGCAGGGCTTGTGTGGTTTGACTGAAAGTCTACACAGGCAGTTTATCCTTATGCATATTTGTCTGCTACAGAATATCACCCAGACTACTTTAAATAAAATCAGGCTCTTTTTTTCACCTAACAGGCCTCTTCTGCTGAGACTGCTTGATGCGAACAGTTTTCCCTGTGCTTTGATTTTGCATGTTTTTCCTAATTTTAATTAAGACACATTTTAAACTGTATATCCTTACTTTTAAAAAATATTTTTTTCCAGGACAGAAACTCCTCTTGTCACTACTTACCCAGGTTTCTGCCTCTGCTCTGGGGTGTCATATCCCAAAGCTGTCAGACCACAGCTGATGGAATATCAAAAGTTGTTCATGTCCGTAATAGCTCATGCAAAAAGAAATGTTCTTCCCCATTAACAGTGGCACTGAGAGAACTCCCTTGCAAATTTTAGGGCTGTCTTTTTTTTTTTTTTTTTTTTCCTAGTACTGGTTGTGTTCTCCTTTAGAAGGAGAGTGAAGAATGACAAATCAAAGGTACAGCCAGATTTCTGATATTTGTATTCAATCTGCTGCTCTGTCTGTCTCATATATGTTTTCTGCACTGACACAAATCTATGCTCTGGCAGTTCAAATGCTTGTAAAGTGGTGGAGATACCACCACACAGATTAATTTTTTTCAAAACACTTATCATTTGGTGCATTCTGCTGCATCCCAAAGGCAAATAATAGTAACATGAGCAATACACTCTCTCTCATAAAATGCCTTTACTGGCCTTTTTCACCTTCAGCATCTGCTGGTTTTGTCCCTTTTGCCCCTACAGCACATGCAGAATAAGTTTCTATTTGCCTTCTTTTTAGAAGCATTTAGCAAGTCAAATGATTGCTAACTCAAAAGATCTTTTCATTTGTTACCATTAGCCTTACATTGATAACTAATCAGAATTCTCTCATATGCATTATTCACAATTGTTGTCGACATGATTTCATACCTAGTTCACAGTTTCAGGTTACACCTCTAAAGAAGCCACTTAAAGGATTACAAATTGTAGTTGAAGGTTTACAAATTACCATTGTGCCATTTTCATGGCCTTTGTAATGAAACTTCATCCAGGTTATTCTGGAGAAACATTTGTTGAATCATATTAGCGACTAGATTCTTACAGCACAAGTATCTAGTGCAGAACTAGTTAAATAAACCTTATGATTTTTTTTTTCTCTCTATCAACTCTGTGAGACAGATTGGAAGAGCCATTGGAAATAGAGGAATTAATCCGACGTTTCCGTGCCAACATTGTCATCAGTGCACCGGAGTCCTTTGAAGAAGAAGAGTGGGCTGAGATTTCAATAGGTGCTCTGCAATTCCAGGTACGAACTCATCTCCCTTGTCCTAGTCCCAGTCAGTCAGCAAGTATTTTGACCCCTGGAGACAGCAATTTTTGCAAGACTTTGACTGGAACATGGGTGCCACAGTTTGTGCAGATGAAATTTATGAAATGTGTAAAAAAAACCAAAAATGCTGTGACCTGTGGCAAACATGCTTCAATATTGAGAGGTTTAGAAATATTTCTCCACACCTTTTTTTTTAATTTCATAATTCATAAAATTTCCCACCTCTATCCAGCTGAGTGGAAAAATAATCACTGTTTTGAGGCAGTTTGCAGCAAATATTTAGCCAGCATGTCAGGAGAGAATACTGGTTGCTGTTAAACATAATAGTCCGAACGTAAGCTCTGATTGCTGCAGATCAAGCAACTGACTGCCAAAAAAACTGGACATGAATACAAGGTAAGAGTCACTGTCTATTGACCTCTGTTGTATACATTTTGTCTTAATCTCCATTCAAGATATGTTTCTAAGTCGAGCCTGGTAGGGTTTTTTCATGTGTTATGCTTCATATCTAACAACATAATGTGCTTTTTACTGTAAGGAAAATGCTGAAGAGTTAGACATTGTTGGCAAATATATTATTTTGAGAAAAACTTCAACAAAGGATTCATCAAGAACATACACATGAAACCTAAGGGAATGATGCACACGTATTATGTGTTCTATTGGATTTATCTGGTCGTTAGATGTGTAATATGTATTTGAAAACGCATTACCTAGGTTGTGAAAGTGCCTTACTCATTGTTTTCTTAGGGATGATAATGAAGGTGTGAATAGCAGAAATCAGATCTAGAAGCTGTGGTAGACATCACTCCTATTTCTTTCTGGTCAGCATACTGTAAGAAATGGAGAGGCCATTTTTTTCAGTAAGGATGGAAATTATGGCTTATCTGCTCTCGTATATACTTTGAACAGTAAGCTGTGATATGAGTTACAGAAAACTGAGGATAAATTTCTTTACGTAGGAGATGAGGACAAAATCTTTGGTGTATAGCTTGTTGGAGGCTGGAGTTGCAGTAGGGATGACAGCTCCAGGTCCTGTTGTGGAAGATAGTGTAAAACTACAGAATAAAAATGCATTCCTGTTTCTAGCATTGAAATAATTTAGGAATGTAAGCTGCAAATAGAAAGGCTTATGCAACTTGTATTGTCTTTTCCAGTCTCTGTTAGGTCCTTATTCAGATACTGATGTAGTAACAGTAGAAATTATGTTAATTAACAGTACTTGATGCCAGGAAAATGGTAGAAGAAGCTGTTGAACAAGGCAAAGCAGGGAGAAATATTTCTTTCTCTGTCTTACTTTCTTGTTCTTTTAATAAAATATTAAAGCTGTGGAAAATCATCTTCTGAAAAAGCTGAGAAAAATGTATGGTTTTGATGATTACACTGAAGAGTTGTACAAGCAGTTCTACATGTACCTCAAAGAACTGATATTTCACTTCAGATCAGCATATAAAAATGTTTGCAATGTCAGGTTTAATTATTTGCCCTATTTGAAATTTATGATACATTTTACAAAAGTCGAATGTGTATATTGAGATACAGTTAAGATAGTTTCTATAATTTTCAGCTTTGCTATAGCTAGGGTTGCAATATTAAGGGAAACTGGAATATGTCTTCCTTCTTAATTCTAATACTTTAAAAGGTAAGAAGAAATTCATTGCAGGTTTTTTTCCCTAAAAACACACCTCTGTATGATGTTATAGCACACGTTCTTATTATTCCTTCTGATTATATAAACGTGTGAAAATTCACATCTTGCATTCTGATTATCTACAATTGCTATGCCTGTAAGAAAAAATGAGGGTTATTGTGTATTTCAGCTGCACTGAAACACTGTAAAACAAAGCCTGTTAGTTTAACTCCAAGAAAATCCTCCTGAGGTGCTAGCTTAATTTTATATTCAGTTCCCCTTTGGGCAAGTAGCCCTACCATCCCATAGATGAAGTGAAGCCACCAGGAAATACAAATATGGGAAAGTTTTCCTGAAAAAAAAAAAAAAAAAAGAAAATGAAAAGTGAATTAAAAAATCAGTGAGACCTTCACATTAGGTGAACAGGCCTGACCTCTTACGTAATTAAAGCATAAAAGAACACAGGAAAAGTATATGAAAGGTATGTTTTAAAGATGTTATGGTGGTCAGAAGCTCGTACTGTTCTGTGTTGTAGTGCTTTGATATACAGCTGTGAATCTTATTTAACTGAAATTTCAGGTTGTGGGTCCATGTAGCAGATGTCAAATAATCTGCATTGATCAACAATCTGGGGAACGAAACAAAGAATTTCTGCAGTCTCTGTCTGCTGCCAGAGGTAGAAAGGTCAGTACAATACTCCAAAATAGCTGTATTCAGTGAGACCTTCACATTAGGTGAACAGGCCTGACCTCTTACGTAATTAAAGCATAAAAGAACACAGGAAAAGTATATGAAAGGTATGTTTTAAAGATGTTATGGTGGTCAGAAGCTCGTACTGTTCTGTGTTGTAGTGCTTTGATATACAGCTGTGAATCTTATTTAACTGAAATTTCAGGTTGTGGGTCCATGTAGCAGATGTCAAATAATCTGCATTGATCAACAATCTGGGGAACGAAACAAAGAATTTCTGCAGTCTCTGTCTGCTGCCAGAGGTAGAAAGGTCAGTACAATACTCCAAAATAGCTGTATAGAAAGATGTAGTGACTTAATTGCATGCATAGTGAAATATCTGCTGAGAGAATATTCACGATTAAGTTGTTATGCTAATCATTCCCATTTGTTTTTTCAGTAAAAAGAGGATGCACTTACAACCCAGATATGACATGGTTTATTTCTGTAAAATGCTCAACAGGTTTTTTGTTCAGAAATTGACTATTAATATGCATTATTTTTTTTTGCTGTGCTTGCTTTTATTCAGTATACTGCTTTACAATGTGTTTATTTTGGTCTTGAAAAACATGAGCTGATGTGCTGATGTCATTCAAAAAGAGAAATCTTCAGAAAAATCAGGAAGTGTTTGAAATGATACAGTTAGCTCGTAAGACTAATGTTTATTCTTACTGTGAGAAAATACTTAGCAGGAAAAACAGAGCAGACGTGAAAGTAGTCAAAGTGGAGAGTAATTGAAGAGAGTAAGAAAGTGACTGGAGAATAAGTGTGAAATACAGGCCTTCATTTGGAGTCCTTCTGCTTGCTAATGTTGCATTGCTTCTTGGAATTGAGAGTGCTCAGATGATTGCTAGACAGCTTGGCATACCAGAAGCTTCACAGATCTCCTCCTTATTTAGCTGAAAATCCTTACTCTAAATTCATTGCTTCCTGTTCATTAGACTTCTGTGGTAAAATTTCATTAGCCAGTCGGGGCTCAGAAGCCTCGCCAGTACCAGCCAAACACCAGAGACTGGGCACAGCACAGAAGCAGAACAATAACAAATAGGTTGAAAATTGTTCACCCAGACAATGCACAACAAGTTACAGATAATGCATTCTTTGTTTGGAAAAAAAAAAAAAAAAAAAAAATCTCAGCAACTCATTACACAAACAAACAGCCATTTTTGATGAATGTTATCCTTGGTGGATAGCTCTGCTCCACCCCTGAGACAGGCACCTGGTGCAGAGTGAAATAGGGGAGAGGGGAGCAGGCAGGGGCTGGCTGTCTAGGCACAGCTTCCTCCTGACCTGAAGTGATTTAGGGATGCACAGCAGGCTCATCCAGATTGCCACAGAGCATGCCTTTGTGGGATGAGCTCCTGGCCATGGTGGGTAGCCTGAGGACAAAAGCACTCTCCAGGTAATGGTGAGCCACAGCTGGAGCATCTGGGACACTTTAGAGTGTATTCTGGCACTCTGGGCCACGATGCTGCCTAGCTGCACATGGGGTGTGGTATGTGGAGGATTTTCTCTAACCATGTATGTTTTCCTGGACTATAACTTGAATGCTCTGTAGAGGGAAAGCACTCTATTCAGGGACCTTCTCAAATGGCAACAAAACTTTACCCGGGACAAATTCTCAGGAGAGGCAAAGCATCTTCTGCATGTTTCCTGCAGCAAAGATGAGCTGCTCTTTCATTCTGATTAACTCAGCAATGCAAAGATTTTCTTGATAAAAGCACTCCTAGAACCAAGTAACTCGTTCAAACAGAATTAAGGCAAAGAGAACAATCCAGCCTCTTGAGAACAACCTGACGCCAGATAAAAGATGCATGGCAAGGCAAGACACTGCACAGCACAGTGCTGCTTCTCACAGCAGGAGAGTGCTCTGCTTCCCTCAGCTGCACAACCATAGTCATGCTGCAAAGAACCAGGCCTTCAGCTTTTTTTATTTTTCCCAACCTTCAGCACTGCTGGCAGATGGGATCTTGTGAGCATGCCCTGCTTTGCATAACGCCAAGTCCTCTGGGTTAGCTTGACAGCTGAAAGAGGTGGTTTGAACTGGTAGTTTTGCTTGAACTGGTCTGAGAAGACCTCAGAGCCCATCCCTCCTGGAAGTCATCTGTGGGGTGATGGTCACCAGCTGGTTATCAGTGAGTAGTACCCGAGGACTATGGTATCTTCTGTGTGCTAAGCAGACCTAGCAGAGGACATTGATCCAAACCTTTCACAGTTCACAGTGGGGAGGGAGAAAGAACATGGAGTTCCTGTGACTCTGTTAAATTGCAGAGTTAATCCTTTGGTGACTCATGTCTCTAGCATGCACTTTTCTGTTAAGGAGCCATCTAACAGACTTTTTTCTTTTTTATCAGATACAGATTCAGTGAAGGAATTTAGCAGTGTTTATTCTGAGCTATCAGTGCAATTCAAACTACAAAAAACAATTGCAGCAAAATAAGATTTAAACTAATTTCCCAATACAAGGGGAACTGATATTTTTGAAAGGCTGTTGTAGTTGCTCAGTTTCCAAAACATTAAAGATACTACACATAGGAATGGAGAGCAAACCCTGAATGCTTAACAAAAGAGCCAGATGTCAATATTTACCATTTTGTTTTTCCAAGAATATAGACCTGGAAAAATACATCAAACATTATCAAACTGGTAGCCCAAATGACAGCACTGCCAATGAAATTCAATAATGAGCTAAATAAAGTAAGGCTTGTAAGAGGTGGTTCGATATTTATTTCTGAAATCATATTTTTCTCTGTCCCTCTGAGACTCAGAACCTGGTGCTCCAGGTTGAAAGATTGAGGCTTTGCATAGATAGGTTGCAGCTGAAAATCAGAACCAGCAACTATAGTTAATCACACAAGCAATTTGCATGCTTCTGGATAAATGTAAAGCATGGTGCTAAAGCCTAGCCAGGTTTATGAAACCTTTTGTCACATTTTTTGAAATAAAACACAAACACCTCTACAAAGCGAACTTGAGCTCCGCTGCCACCAGTTCTGAAGAAACACTCATTAAGGATTCCTTCCGTAATTTTTGATTGAAAAGGAAAAATGAGCTCTCCTTCTGTGACACAGCTCTCTGTTAACTGCAGAAGACTATGAAAGACTAGGTAACTACATTAAGCAAACAGCATTAAAATAGCCACACGGTGTTTCACATGCATCACCACCTGATGCAAAACACACATAGGCAGAAAAGAGAGAACATTCATTGAATTCTTGCCTGCCTTCTGTGTTTTGTAGATGCAGTTTAACGCTAACAATAGCAGAAGCCCTGTGGGTAGATTTGCAGCAGTGCTATAAACTGGGACATGCTGTCAAGGTAGCAAAGGGAATTGCATTAGCAGTCTGCCCCAGCATAAATATATGGATAGTGGTACATCAAGGGAAATCCATTATGTTTGCACATGCCTTCATACACTAAAAGGCTTGTGGTTTTTTCCTGCGGGCTGTTGATCCTCCTTTACATATCTCATTGTTCCTTGGGAGAGCTTTTTTCCCTGCAGAATTAGACACCCTGCCATTGGATTGCTTACTGAAATGTTAGCAAGGATAGCAAATGACTTCTCTTATCTGATGCGTCATTATCTTAATTTTCATAGTAATGCAGGGCTTTACACTATGCAGTGCTTTTCATCTGAAGATCTGGAACATTTGCAAACAGTAATTGATGCAGTTAATAGACTTCTGAAATAATGTGATTCTCTTTTCTTATTGGTGGCTGCACTGGAAAATGCATTTATTTAAGGTAGACAAAAGAAAAATCAGTTCTTAGGAAAGTATTCTTTTGCCCAGATATTTTCAACAGAACAGAATGGAGTGTTTGACACCAAGTTAAAAGTTTCCCTTTTTTCCAATATGAAAAATAAACATGTTGAAAGTGAGTACTTCCACTCTCCTATTTTGTAAGGCTTTGCTAATAAGTTTTGGTGAATCCACAGCTAATAAAACATCCTCACATTAAAAAAATATATATCTTTGTCTTTAATAATTGCATCTCCCAAACCTTTGCATGGGGGGGAGGTTATGTTATTGTATGAATAAAATGAGTAGACATGAACAGGTAAATTAATCTATTGTGAAAAAGCAGCTGAGAGCTACATCCAGGGGCAAAATCCAGAACTCATCCATCCAAAGCTGGTTTAGCATGCAGTACCACTGACGTGCTTGTTACACATTCTAGCAGGGCATTTTCCCTACCAATACTAGTCTGAATTAACTGATTGTTTTGGAGCTGTAGCTTGAAGGCATCTCATCTCAGCCTTTGTCAAATGTAGCACCTCAGGTTTCTATCTTAGAAAAGGAGATACTGCACCCAGGATATTTCTGTGTCAGTGAATATCTAAGCAGTGCATATTACTGTTGATCCAGTAAGTGTACTTGAAACAACATGCAAGAATGACAGCATTTTATAGCTCCTCCTTTGAGTGTGATGACTATCATATGATTCACTGTTGGCAAGAATGAGTACATTTTATCTATTTCTCCCAGCAGTGAAGTGTTATGCTTTTTACTAATCAAGAAGCTTTACATTTCTTGTCCCTGTGAAGTTTAAGAGTGATGGGAAGAGCCTCTACTGCCATCAGAAGACTAAGCAGATAAAGCCACAGAACTCACAGTCCAGCACTCCTTGCCCAGTTCTTGGTGTATTCTGAGGAGGTTATATGCAGAATAAAATGTCCTTGAAGTCAGGAGAAGGTAGCGACAGCAGAGAGAGATTATGCAGTTCATTGTAATAACTCTGCAGGCTGTAATCTCTGCATCTGAAAGCCTCATTTTTCAACAGTGAAATGTGAGAAGGGCCAATCTCTACATTTTATCTTTCTCTTGAAACAGAGCTGAAATGGCAGGATGCAGAGCTTTTGTGGTTGCTTGAGGGGGCTGCTATTATCAGTATTTGCTGAACCAATATTTGTAATAATTGAAAAAAAACAAGGAAAATTACTTAAAAGATATTAAATCCACTACTGGTAAGCACAAACTAAATTTTGGTCTTAGGAACATTCACAAAAGAAAGAGGTCAGCAATTCCAAGCAGATATTAGTACTAGAATATGTATACCATCACCTTCAAAACTCCTTAGGCATCACCCAGTCTCAGCACTGAAAAAAAATACCATGAGACATTAGATGCCCAATCAGAGTAGGGAAATACTAAAGACTGGTATTCAAATAGTATTTGAGAACTTCTGAAGGTAAGATGTATTCTTAAATGCCTTTTCTTAAATAACTCTGAATTGTTCAAAGTGCTTCAAGAAAAAACTCTTACTAAATGATTCACAACAATAGAAAAACTTGTAAATTAAATTCTGCAGAGTGGACAGTCTGCCCAGATTTATTTTAGTCTCATTTTAAGATAACTCAAGATGTCAACACAATAAATATAAATAAAAACTTATCATGTATCAAATAAGTTAATTTACATCAATGAGTTATAAGTTATAAAATTCCTTCCTTTGTGAAATGTGCTGTAGCATGGACTAATATTAATTATACAGTATTTGTTTTATGATTGCCTGATTTTTTTAAAAGAACAAAATTATGGCAACTGTCATTTTTGCACTAGGGTATAGGAAGTAAACCCAGGTTATTAAACACAAGGCTGAAAAGCACACAATCTTCACTCACATAAATGAAAAAAACTGCCCCACACCAAATATAACAAGAAACATCATCACAGTACCAAACAAAAATAGACAGTTTACACATAATCCACACCTCGTCCCTTCACCACAATTACAACATCTCAAAATCCCCATGATAATTTTGTTAGTTCAGTTCATGCTTTGCCCGTTACCTCTCCCAGTTAATATCCTTATCTCAAAATCCTCATGGCCCATGTTGGGCACCGAAAACTGTGGTGGTTACGGCCTCCTCCCCACACACAGACACAAACCCAACACAACAGGACAGACCTGATCAGGTCCAACTCATACACCATATATGTGAAATACCAGTGAGATGAAGGAATAGCAGAAGTATCCAAAAAATCTCTGCTTGGGAGCTGTTTTTCTTTTTAATGTTTAGGATTATAAATGGACCCAAATTCAGAGACTGAGGCGATATTTGGATAGATCTCTGCTTTAGAGCATCCCTCTTACTTGGGATTAGGTCTCAGCCTTACCTCTTGCTAATTCTTCAAAGACTAAAAGCTGTTTTGTGTTACCTCATAACTGTATCTTTATTTAATTATACAGTGCAAGAACAGGAGAAAACATACTGCCTTCATATTTAGTCAGTCAAATATGCGCCCTTAAATTCAGTTAATAATATTTTTTAATTTATTGCTATTCTTTTTACCGAGTATATTTTTCTAAACCTGCTGTAAATGTAATTCCCTCAGTTTCAGGATCATCAATCCAAACAATAGCAGTAAATGTAATCAGGAAATGGAGAAGGAGAATAGAGTTTTGTTTTTAAAAATTATTTTTTCAGAAAAACCAAATGAATTTCATTTGCTTATTTATTTACTTTACACGTTAGAGTGACTGGTACATTTTAATTGTAGCCTACCAAAACAAAATACTGTTTATTGAAACCTGTAAAAAATGACAAGAAAATTAGTACTGGATTTCCAAGGTCCTCAGTTTGAAGAACAAAGACATTCTGAAGTCTACGAATCAACTATCAATTTAACATGGTCTTCAACATCAATTTATTTCTTATTTTACATATTTCTTTAATTAACTATTATCCAGTCATTTAGAAAATATTATCATGAGATTTCAAGTCTGTTTCTAAATACTCTACTCTTGGAAAACAAAACCACAAAAACACACCAGTCTCTTACTGTGACGTTTCCAGATCACACCCAGCTGTTCACAGCTACAACTGTAACATTCAACGTGCTTAAGATTAAGATGTCACATAAGAGTGCAGACAGTCGGATCAGGTTTTCAGTGCCTGCGAGGGTTGTGTAGTCAGTGGATGAAGTGGTTATTCTGTTCCTCTTTTCTGTATTATTCCATATCACAAGGACACATATATAAGTATTTCTAATATCCTATGTAGGATGGCTTCACAGGTAGTGACAGATAACAAGTGGTAGTCCTAATACAACAAACTTTGCGAATATTTTCTGTAAAATATGCTAAAATATTCATAAAAACAAATGAAGAGAAATTCACAAAGGCTAGACAGAACAAAGTTCTGTTAACAAAGCGAATAATTCATGGTAGAAGATGCAAGACTTTTCTTCACTGTTTGAACATACATGCATTCTCGTGCTGCCTAGCCTTTATTTGTGATAGTGCATTAACTGTATTTGTCAAGAAGCCAGAACAGTCATTAAATGACAAGACTTTGAGGGAGTGTAAATTACATATATGATACTATGGAACTCATGATGAAATACTTCGTTATTTATCCACTTACTTAAGGTAGTCTTCTTGAATAGCAAGGGGTTAGCTTTTGTTTACCAGTCTATTATAGTTAATTAGTTAAAAATGTTCTTAATTACATGGAGATAATACATACCTCCTTATTCTTAAAGCAGTATTGTTTTTCTAAATATATCTGGGTTGTGAGATCCTCTGTAGATCTGATTACTTTAACATGAGTTGCATCTCAATTAATATTTTGCTTTTTTCAGACAAACTTTGGCATATACCTGATGAACCAACCCTTGCACTCATCCTTTCCAGATATTTTATCAGTTGGGTCTCAAGTACTTCCAGTGCTGAAGGAGAACACAGAAATTCAGCCCCCGACATCTGGTGAAGAAAAATGTTCAGGATAGGTTTGCTGGTGGAGATGAGATTTATAAGCAACACAAGGGAAAAGTCAGTAGACAGTTATTAAAAAAAAAAAAAAAAGAAAAAAGAAAAAAACTTCCACTCATTTCCTTCTGGTTTAAGTCTTTTAATTTTCTGTTTGCTGTAAATGTTATCAGATGGCAGAACCCTTGATAATTACAGCTCACCTACATGTTTTTGCTTGTGATTAGGTTACAGCAGCCATAACTCTATTTTGCTCAATTGCTTCAGGATGCAACAGGTTTGATCAAGTTTTACTGGTGAATGACTCCCGAAACAAGCCCAACACTGTTGTCAGAAGCCCACATCTCAGTGGAGAAAAGTAAACACAACAATACATTACTTCCTTATGTTGCTTTGTTAAAGCCACAATTGGGAGAGAGGATGCAGGACATATTTTAGAAACAATGTGGGTGGGAAGGGAACAGTGGGAGAGTGGCATTTCCATTCAGCCTTTCAAAATGAAACAGAAGGTGATGTGTAGACAGTCTGAAAGCACCGGAGAAGAGGGAACTGTTATTGAGAAATCTGTGTCTCCCTCTTCAGAAGTGGAGTGTGAGGATGCCAAAATGGCACAAGGATCAATGAAGATTCAGTATGCTGTCTGCAAAACAGATTCCCTGTGAAGCAATGTCAACCATTTGATCTCGACTTCTTTCTCTCATTCTCATTTTCTACTTTCCCATCTGATTTATTTTATGTGATGACTTCCCACACACTTGTTTCCTTACATATTTGTGGATGTTGACACATTTTTTCTAATTAGAGATTTTTCAACTAATACAATCATGTTTTCTATACAAACTTTGTTTATCCTCAGTGGTCTCTAATGGCCACTTAAGGGAACTCTTGAAAGTTTGGATGATTCTCCATCCCAAACAGGTCAAAGTATTCTTTTTTTCTTACTCTGTGCATTTGATAATGTCCTTCTTAGAAGCCTTTTCAGTATTTTACTCTCCTAAATATGACCCATGCTTTGTGATTTCTGAGAGCAAATGTCAAACGTAGAATTTAGTCTGAAATATCAATTATTGTGAAAATTAAAAAAAAAAAAAAAAAAAAAAGCCACACACACAGCAAAAAAGCACATTGGAAGTCAGTGTAATGCAAAACTGAACACACTGAGGACAGGTGTTTCATGACCCCCAACATGTGTCCAGCCAGTCACAGGGCAATTTCATGCTTCCAGGAAGTCATTCTCAAAGAGGAAATTCTCCTAAATTGGCTGCTCTGTTGCCATTTGGAAAGTGAAATTTTCACCCTGTTAAAAGCACAGTCAGAACTTTCATCCAGTGTGATTTAGGTCTTCCTTGGGGCAATTTTGGCTCAAACTGTGTGAAAGTGCTTCTGGCTGAAGCAATCTTTGAGTTGTTTGAGTATATCCCTGGAGGGGAGCAGGTGGCTTTGTGAAAGAATTGGTCAAACAGTCATTCTGAAAGGGGAGCAACTACCGCAGAGCAGCGTACAGTGGGAAAAGGGAAGCGCATGGCTCAGCGTGTGAATCAGAATTCAAAGATGGTCTTTTTTCTTTATCTTCTTTTTTTTAAAAAAAAAAAAAAAAAGTTTCTTCTTTGTGTGTGTGTGTTTGTGTTCTTTTGAAGAACTGGTTTTACTCACTTCAGCTGGAACAGACTCTTATTAGTCTCTCAGCAGAGCTTTGTAATGGAAATGAGAAGAGACATTATCTGTTCCTTACAACCTGCCATAAAATACATGGAAAGAGAGAGGTGTTTCATATGTATGTAAACTGAGGGTCAGTTTTGAGAGTTGTACTTTCCACTTCAGAGCCCAAGCACTGCTCCTTGATGTCTGCTTTGAAAAGCAGGGGTTTTATCTGTCTAATAGTCAGTTATCTGATGATGTAATGAGCAGGCTTTTTGGAACCTTGAAAAGCAGTTTCCTGCTAGCTAAATCTCTTCACTGTTTCACTCTCTGCCTTTCTGTTATGAAGAATGCTGTTTTGTTGGATAGAAAGCCAGTAAAACTCTGGCAAATTTAGTATGAGGAGACCTGCTGTATGCTGACCTTCAGGTGATCTCTGGTGCTTTGCTCTGTCCTCTTCACCTCACAAGTATGTCATTTGTTTAAAATGGCACAGAAGTTAGAAAAGGAAATTGAAAGCAAACCTCAGCAAGCTCTGTTTCACTTGTTATTTAATTTGCCACAAAATAAGTCACTTTGGTACACAGTGACTTGACAAATACTGTTTGTGAATAGCCTTAATGCAATGTATGATAACTAAGAATGAGAGGATTTGAACTTTGAAAATGTCATGCTTGGTCATTTTGACCTAATATTTACAGGCAATTGCACTTTCTTTCCATGTGGCTTAGTAATATTAGATCAAGAATAATTTTGTCATTTTACAGAGGGGAAAAAAGATTTCTTCTGATGTATGAACATACTCATTAGTATATTCAGTGCATTTCCCAGAAGGAACATCCTTGTGCTACAGTGACAGGAAATGTCACAATGCTTCAGATTGATAGAAGAGACATAAGGAATCTTTAATCTCAACAAAGAATAATATTTCCCTTCTAGTAAGTGGAGTGTTCCTGCCAGTATTGATACATCTTCCAATCAATGTAGACAAATTCTTCTCAGTGCCAATACTCTGTGGATAATCTTGAGGTAGGAAGAGGCACTTTTAAATGACAGGCACTGTAAGTTTGTAAAAAGAATATCCCTGCCATAATGTGAAAAAAAAAAAAAAATAAAGAAAGCAGAAACTTAGCATAATGCAAACCCAGGTACTGCTGGAATGAAAAGGGCATAAACACTTTGAAACACTATATATATATTATATAGAAAGATCATATGTTCTATAAGGAGTGACTTCTCAGTCTTCAGAGTATATAGAAAAAAGACTATTTCATATGAATGCAGGCTCTTTCATCTAAGTACTCCCATTGCTGCAAAATAAATATGTGGACTAATTGCACTAGTGCTTTCCTTATATGGATAAGAAATGTAATTAAGACAGTATTTCCAGAGTGCTGTATGTAGAAAGTCTATCTATTTGAAAACTAAGTCCGTATTTCCTTACAATGAATTATTCAGACACATTCTATTTTCTGTGAGACTTAACTCCTTCTCAAATAGCAATGCAAAAATGGTGATTATTACAAGCTCTAATAATAGCCAGGAGATTGAAATCACAGAACAGAAATCAGCATTTTGAGGAGAAGCCTTAGGACTCTGTGTTCTCTGATATGACTAAGATATTTCAGATACAGATTATGATTTATATCCTTTCAATGGCATCCTTCAAAATATGGTCAAAATTTTAGGTCACTCTTCTGTCAAAATTATAAACAAATCAAAAGGAAGAACTGCATAAAAATGTGATTGTTGTTCATAAATTGCAGAGATTATGCTATGTATTTCTTCTTCAGTTTGATTTTTAACTTTCTTGGAAATGAATCCAATAAATTATATATTGTGCTTGACATGTCTACTGGTGGTGATTCATGAGTTTCACTTTAGAGTTCAAGAGATGCTGAGTTCTGCTTGGAGGTATTACCAGGCTCACGAGGCGAGTATGTGGCTCAGGACTGAAGGGATGTCTCATCGCTGCTGGAATTCACAGGTGAGGTGTTCCTCCAGCTATTGTGCTGACGACCTCTGTCTGTCTTGTCAGCATGCCAATGAGTTGCACACTCAGATTGGGCCCTGCACAAAATGCACTAATAATCACAGATTTCCTTTAAAATATGTCCAGAGGCAATCCTGTTGGAGCCACCTCTGTTATCCAGAGGTTGGAGCTCTCACCAAGGGTGTTGGAGAAGAGAAGGTTCATTTCCCTCTCATTTGCCTGGAGGGATCCAACACAGTCTTTCTCCTTGCCTGTCAGTAGGCAAGGCTGGGGACTTTAACAGAACTGGGTGTGCCTGGGAATCACAGGGAGGGCTTGTCCCTCCTTTCTCATGAGGTTTACACAGAGATGATCTGTGATTCACTGGGCCAGAGAGAGAGGGACATGGGCACAGGGAGACAGGATCTGCACGTGACTCCAAGCTGCTCATTCATGCTCTTCTGGATTCACTGAGGGTGGGAGGGGAAGGAGAACATGACTCTGTAACCCAACAGGTAGGTCACTCCTATGGAGGTGAAAGATGTGGGTACGTCCCTCTGTCTCTGATTATACAGCTGTCATAAGGCAGCTATTAGGACAAAACATAGACACAGCCCCTGGAGAAGGGAGGAGAAGGCAGAGTGCTCCTCTTTGCTGAGCAGGTGAGACAGTGGATTACAGAGGCTTGTCTCCTTCCTCTGGCCACCGGTGTTTAAGTACAAGGTGGAACTTCAGCAAGAATAGAGGAGAATTCATGAGGCATGTTTTGGAATAAGCCATTAGGGGAAGCGTGAGCTTGAGTCCTCAAAAGCAGAAAGGGAAATGGACTCATGTTTCTGACTTCTTGCTGGGTGCACCAGCTGCAAGGCCAGCGTGAAAAGGAAAAAATGTGGGAGGGAAAGAAAGGCAGCATCTCCTACAGTCAAAGTTTAAAAGAAAGTAGTGATACACATGCCTTTGCCACCCAGTTTGTAATTTTTTTAGGAAAGAAAGGATGTAAGCATCCTCACACCCATAAATCAGATTCAGAGGACTCAGAGTAAGTCATCGACAGAGAGGTGCCTCTTAAGCAAGGTGCCATTTAAGAGGCATCTCTTCCCTCCCTTTCATGTCAAATAGCTTACTTTGTTGCTCACTCAGGTTGATAGCAGCTGTGGGTCCCTTCCAGTAGACAAGAAAATAGACAGGTGCCCTGCATAAGGAGCAAAGTGATTCACTTAGAATGTGGACAGGGAGAGATGTTAGGGAGTTTTGACATGATGTATCCTTGAGCATCACTGTCATGTGCAGAGGTACATCAGGGACCTCTCTGTAATAATATGTGTCACAGAACAAGTTAGTTATTTTTCTGGTGGCACTGTGAAGTCATCTTGCAAGGGTGATACTCAAGACATATGCATAACAAATATG